TTGGAAGCCATCATCCTCAGCAAACATATACAGGAACAGAAAACCAAACACTGCATATTATACTGCATGTTCTCACTCTAAGTGGAAGTTGAACAATGAGAACACATGGACACATTGAGGGAAATAACACACACCAGGGCCAGTTGGGAAATGGGGGACAAAGGGAGGAAGAACACTAGGACAAATACCTAATGTGTGGGGAGTTTAAATCTTAGTTCACTTGTTGATAGGTACAGCAAACCGCCATGGCATGCATATACCTATGTAAAAACCTACACGTTCTGTACTTGTATCCCAGAACTTAAGTAAAATAAAATAAAGATAGGAAAAATGAAACTCTACTAAGGCAGCCAGGAGGGTTAGGATATGCGCTATCTTAACTGAGATATTTTATTTTGACATAGACAATATCAGGCTACCATCATAATGCCATCTACCACAGCTTTTCACTCTTGGTTTTTTTCTATTTGAAAAGATGTTTCACTTCAGAGTCTGAGCATTAGGCGTGTAAAATAAAGTTATTTGAGCATACTTCAAAAAAAAAAGCATTATTTAAAACCCGAAAACTTAAGAGTGTTTGGTACCAGATTATCAAATACAAAATATAAATTCTTAAAGAAAGTGGTAAATATATGGTTTAACCTAATCAAACATTGACTGCATAAAACAAAAAAGAGTAATGGATTATGATTTTGGAAATTGTATTTTATAATGGCAAAATATTTAGAGAATTATAGAACAAAATGTATATCAGGAGGTAAGTAGAGATTTTTACATAAATGTCACTCATTGTCCAGGAAGAGAGAAAAGGTAAAGGCTTTCATAAATTAAGAATATGTATAACAATTTCTATGGATATCTAAAAAAGAATAGAAAAACAAGGGATATAAATGGAATAAAATTTAAAAATCAACTCAAAAGAAGAGACTGAAATACATGGAACATGTGGGAAAAGAGAAAGATCATAAAAAGATGTTAATTTAAACTTAAATATATCAGCTAAATCATTAGAATAAATTGGACTAAATGCAATGATTTTCAGACTGATTTAAGAATAATACATACTGTTTATAAAAGACATATAAAAATAAGAATACAAAAGTAAATTGAGAATAGAAGGGTTGAAAATACAAATACCATGAAATCACTAATCCTTCCCAAAGAAAACCTTATAGTTATTATTTTAATAAAAGACATAATGGGCCTTAATTCAAAAAAGTACTCTCTTTATAATGTAGGATCTAAATGAATATTTATTGATATAAGTGCATATGTTAGAATAAATTATTCAAAAGTAATTACTAAATATTATTTTTTATTAAAATAGCAACAAAATAAACACAAAAGTAGAAAGAATGAAAATACAGAAATACATAAAAAGATCAGTAAAACCAAAAGTTAAATTTTGGGAATAACTAACAAATTTGATATACCTCTAGCATGACTGATAAAACAAGAGAAAGAAAATTTAGCTCATCTAATATTGGAATGAAATGAGATATTTCTAAAGCTCTTACCATCTTAAAAAGATCAAGAGAGGATAAATAAACAACTGTCAATAAAATTGAATGGAATCAGCAGATTCTTAGAAAAATACAGCTTATAAAAATTGACACAATATAAAAGAAAAAGGATGAATACATCTAAAACTTTTAAAAAGATAGATTTAGTCATTTAAAAGTTTTCCACATAGACTCAAAAATTTAATTTAGAGAATTGAACAACAAAACTTCTTATATAGAAAAAAGAACTGAGACTGAGATATAATTAGTATAAGATCACAAAGCTACCAAGTGTTAGAACCCAGATTTAACTCAGAGAATACTTTTAATCAATATGTTCTACTGAGACCACATTTTTTGATTTTGGCACAAAATTGATCTAACAATATTGTTTCCAATAATCTCTTGAGTTACTATAAATGTGAAAGGAATCTTAAAAATTAGTTACCATAAGTTCTCTATTTTCAGATGATATAACTGATTCCCATCACTGTTAATTTCATTGTATATAAAGTTGTTTAAAGTTACAGAGATATCAGCAGAGATTGACTGCTACCTAGTGTTTCTGATTTCATAGGATTTCACTATTCTGTGTTGATTTCAGTTAATGAAATAAAAATGGGTTAGTTAATGAATGGCTTAAGACAATTCAGATTGTAGTAACCAACCTCTCAAATTCCTCTCTACAAATGATTTAAAATAAATTAATGACAACACAAACTGCGCACAAATCCACACACATGTAATTAGACGAAGACAGAAGAAATGTAACCTGCAAAATAACTGTGTAAAAAGAAAATCATCACTAAATTTCAATATTGTTGTAGAAAGAAATCTACTAATAAGAAATATGGAAGGCTAAAATGAACCTGTGGTCTTGTTCTGGAATTAGAGGTATTAATATAAACTTATGTTATTTAATATTTGTAATCTGATAAATACAGAAATATAGTTTTACATGCATATAAAGCTATACAACTTTTGCAGGTGGTTATATATATATATATATATATATATATATATACACATACCTATAACTATTATATATAAATATATATAACTATGTAATTTCTGCAGTGTTTCTAAGTCGTCTCAGCAGAACAAACCATGTATATCTATGCATACTGCCTCATGCTTATATGTATATGAGCCAGTATGACACCCCTATAGCACTGAGAACAACTGACACCGAAATCTTGGTCTCTAACTACCTTTCTCTAATCAAAGAAATCAGAGTTTCTTAGAGAAATGTGTGATTCTAACACTGGATTTAAGTTTACTTGGGAACATCTTCTTGTGCCAAAAAGTAAGAAAGTGCTCAAATAAATGCATAAATAGGAACTTGTTGAAAGAAGACAGGCACCAACCTGAAGGAATTATTTCAAAGATGAAATAATTTGAACAAAGTAATTAATAATATTATATTTTAATCCATGGAGTAAAACAAATATTTATCTGTCCGTGCTGATATAGTTCAATAATCAAATAATGTAATAGGAGTGAATAAAGAGCTCTTCTCTATAGTAGACTTTTAATTAGTAAATATAAAAGAAAGGGAAATGGAAAACTACTGTTAGCAAACACTACAGTAATAATTGAAGATCCAGTGATTTGTACTAAAATAAGTGTGTGAAAGATTGAGGAGAAACAAGATTTTTATAGTCGTAAAGTACATCTTTCAAAATGTATACTGACTATAAAGGTAATGATAGCACCTTTACAGCAGAAAACCTTGCCAGACATCACTTTACCCACATGATCAAGATTAACATCACTAGTAATGAGACACATCAACATTATGAAACCCTTGATACAATGCATTAGAAAGGAAATCTAGTCATAGGTAAACATCAAACCCAAATTGAAGGATCATCTACAAACTTAACTGATCAGTATTCTTCAAGGGGGACAAGATCATAAAAGACAAGGAAAGACTAAGAAACTTTCACAGAATAGGATAAATTAAGGATAAATCACAACTAAATACAGTGTGGGATGCTGGATAGGCTACTGAAAAACATAAAAGGACATTAATAAATAAATTGGTGAAATTTGAATGTCTAATAACACTGTGCCAATGTTAATTTTCTGTTTTTGATAGTTGTACTATGGGTGTGTAAGATGTTAGCATGAGAGGAAGCTAGACGAGGGGAATCTGAAAACACTATTTATTATCTTTGTAAATTTTCTGAAGTCCAAAATTAGCTCAAAGTAAAATTTTTTAAAGAAATGTAATTAAAGATACTTTACCAATCTCAAAATGCAGAAGAAGGTTAATAAAACAGTACATAAATGAAACGTTGAGTGTCCCATTAGAGCAAATGAGTGTCACATTAGAGCAGAAAATACTGATAAATTATTTCCTCTGATGAAAAACAAAATTCTTAGTCATATTGGACTTTTGTTATACTTGAAAATATGACTATGTTTTTGAAGTGCCTCTTTGTAGATAATAGAGGCAGAACCATGAAGACACAATATTTATAATCTCACTATCTGTTGGGATTCACTCGGGGTGGTTGGCAAAATATTAAGGAAAGCTAGAAGATTATAGTCTCAAACATTTTGGAAGGCAGAAAGATTTTAATGAAACAGGCTGAAGGCAGCCAGTTCTTATGTTAGAGTATTAAGTCACAGGGTGAAGATTTAAGGACAATAAGAGCTTCCCCAGTTAAGTCTGTTTACCCTACATTCCGTTGTCTCTACTCTGTTTACTCATGTAAACTTTGTGCTGGATGGTCCTCTCAGGGGGAAATCGAAGGGAATTACCTGTTAATGTTGTTTATTTAGGCCCGGGAACAAAGACCTTTTATCATTCGTAAAACCATTCTTTTAACCATGTTAATTATCCAAAAGCATGTTCACTTAGAACCTCTGTTATTAAATCTATTCTGAATAATATGAGGAGGAAAAAGGAGTCGTGGTCAGTTAGCAGCAACTGCCCTCTGAGAGCAGCTGATGACCATCTCTAGCCCACTCAAATTCACTGTACTCTGGTGTGTAAGAGTGTATTTCATTCATCTATCACTGAGTCAGGGTCTGCAGGACAGACTTTTGCAGGTGGTGATCAGCATCTCAGGTGGTGACCCTGATGTGATACTCGTCACAGCTGGTGCCCAAACAGGGACACCGGTGTGACTGATGTCACAACTTTTCCCATCAGAAGCATCTTTAGGCAATTATTTCATAGGTGCATATTTAGGTCTCTATATTGGTGTCCTGTAATAATTTTCTTTTAAATTTCTGTATTTCTTAGTATTGGTCATATATTAAATATTTACTAGATTCTGATGTTTATAACAGTGAATAAAAAATACTGTGTTCCTGAAAATTCTAAAAAGGCACATATAGTGTAATGACAAAATCAAAAAAACAGTGCAAATTTTTCACAAGAGAATAACTAGAATTATTGATGAGTATATATATTCTATCCATTTTCATAGCTTTATAAGCATATATATTCAATATATTTTCGTATATATATTTTTAATAATGTACTTTTTTTTGAAACAGAGTCTCCCTCTGTTGGCCACACTGGAGCACAGTGGCATGATATCTGCTCACTGCAGCCTCCACCTCCCAGGTTCAAATGATTCTCCTGCCTCAGCCTCCCAAGTAGCTGGGATTACACGTGTGTGCCACCATGCCTGGCTAGTTTTTGTATTTTTAGCTGACACAGGATTTTGTCATGCTGGCAAGACTGGCCTTGAACTCCTGACTTCAAGTGATCCACTGGCCTTGACCTCCCAAAGTGCTGGGATTATAGGCATGAGCCACCACAACCAGACTATACTGTCAACAATATTTTACAGCAAATATTGCACAACAATGTATCTATAATACACAAATATCCAAACACTGAAATTTTTTTCTTTGGCAGAACATTTTAGTAAAAAATGAAAACCACAGATAATTTTGCCATGCTATGAGCAAAAGATAATGATAAGTTAATAGACCCTTTGTAGCTTGATTTCTGTTATCTGTATTTGGAAATATAATTCCTTACTCCCCTGTATTTATAAGAAAAATTCAGACTAAGAATGAAAACTCAACTGCCATACTTTTAAGAGTCACAAAATTATTAATTTGTAGCATGTTATTATTAACTTGCAGCATCTCCAATAAAGAATTGGAGTTCCAATGTTATTACTGAGATGGAACTTTCTTTTTCTAACTGGTAGTGAAGATACATTACAGGAAACAATGAAGCTAGTTTCTGTTCTTGCTGGTGCTGTTTGATGATAATGAGGATGAATATAAAATCATAAATATGATATAAATATTAGATGGGACATAGTGATGTTACCATTATTCAAATTATCTTTCATTATTTTCAGCTCACTAATTTTCTATACTCCATGCTTGAAATAGCATTATGCAATCTACAATATACAATAATTGAAACTGTGTCAGCAGTTAGCATTCTATGAACCAGTCTAACTTTCAGGGGCTTTAATTTTAGCTCTCTCAATTCTTTTGCATCAGTACATTCCCTATGAGTTTTTTAACTGTATATGCAGTGTGGTAAATGAACACTATTCTTATTTTCAGAAGTGGCAGGCTAAGGAAGATTGTGTTTACTTGACATTTCTTTCCTGTTACCAATATTTGACATCATTATATTAGTCTGCGGTTGTGTTGAAGTGAAAAATAAGAAGTTTTTTTAAACAAATTTTAAAATTGTTTTCTTTTTACTTCCTAATAATAGACTATTTCATTCTCAGCGGCTTTGAATGTAGTAGATATCTCAACATATGGTTAGACTAAACTTGCCTTCCATAACTTGTGTTCTCATCATTGCTGTAAGGATTAAATACTAAATATGAAATCACCCAAATACTTTCCAATGTGATATCTAGCCACCTACTTTATAAACTACACAAATTAAATACAGAAGTACTTCTAAAAATCAATCAAAGCATAGTGTTTCCTTAGGTAGACATCTTGCCTAGTCTATTTTTATTTGTTCCCAGAAATTTTTCATACATATAAAATGTAAATCATAATATTATAAAAGTTTTCCCCAGCATATAAAACCCTTTTGTGTCACACTACGAAGTAAAAAGAATTAGTGGTCTACCCAAAATATTGTACAATCATCACAGAATATGGGAGAATCCAGCCCACGCATTATCAAAATGTCAGCCCTTTCCTTTTCCCAAGTAATGAACAAATCTTGTCTGTGGTTAGGACATACTTACGAATTCCTAGACCTTTCTCATGATTTCTCCTCTAATCAGTCTTACCTGTGATTATACCAAGACCCAATTTCTAGGTATTAGGTCCCCTTATTCTTTGAAATATTATTCCCCTACTCCTAAACCTGTAGATATTATCTAGAGTGTTGGTTTTTTTCAACTAGATTTGAGTTTATTTATTAAACTTTTTCTTTTTTCTGCTTCCTAATTCAGGCATCCTTTTTAGTCCTTTTTTTACATGCTCATTATTTCTTTAAAAATATTATTCTTTTAAAACAAACCTCTCAAGGTTTATCTTTGGTTATCATCATTTTTCTTCTTTTTTAAGCTAATAATAATAACAATAATAAACTCAAGGAATGAACTTAGCTCCAAATAAGTACTCCTCCTCTCAAAAACTAAGAAGATCTAAGATTTCACCATTCTTGCAGGCTAACATGGTTGCCTGCCAGAGTTTCATGTTTGCTAGCAAACAGGACAGAGTCAAGAGACAATGGATTTTCTTAATCATGGCCAACAAGCAACATAAGCATCAGCATATTTTTGGATCCAGCCCACAAGCCTCACAAGGGCAACACAGATGAGCCCTCATGAATGTCTGCCTATGCGTGCAGTAGACTGCATTAAAAGAAAGAAACACTGAGGTTTTGGCCTCAAGATATTTTCCTTCATGAGGAAGCTCCAGAGGTGATTCTGAAACACAGAGATAAGTATAGTCCTTCCTTTAACTACATTCAAGGGTCTCCTAGCAGCAAGTTTGTCATCCTTCTACCCTGACAAATTCAGGTGTCCTATTCCATAGCTTTCAACTGAACTTTTTTCCCCCAATCATTTCTTATTCAAATCCAGCTATTTAATAAAATCTCAGGTTAAAGGAAGGTCATCTTTCGGTTCAAAGAAGATCATCTTTTAACCTATAATAATCAGGGGGAATTCTGAAAGTTTCAAAATATATCTATACAACCCCTTTTAACATACAGATGATCTTCCTTTAACCTAATGAAGAAAGTATGCAGAAACTAATTATGTCTCTCACTTCGGCCTATATGTTCCACTAGAGGGGGAAGCAACAAGCAATATATTCAACCAAATAGTAAATGCTCATGTGGTCTGTGACTAAGCCAGTCTAACAAGAGAATCTCAGTGGCTGAAACAGAATAAAATCTGAATTGTTCAGACCCTCGCAGGCAGGCTTTCACCCAGGGGAACTAGGCTGCCTGTCGTCGCTGTTAGGAAAATAAAAGAAGTACCATGGCCAGGAATAATCAGGGGGAACTCCCAAAGTTTCAGAATATACCTATATAATCCCTTCCCTTTCATTCTGATCATTATCCAGGAAGTGGCCAGGAGGAGATAACTCCTTTCTGAGAACAGTCACATGGAATCACCAAACTGCCTTATTAAGTAGGAGGTAGAGTTAGAAATCTTTTAAAGTCAGTTTTTAAGGAAGCTATTTCAACTATTAACAATATCATATGATAAGTCCACTAATTACTTCAGTTATTCATTGTCAGATTGCAAATGATCTAGGAATTTGAAAATATAACATAGCTTAGTTTCAAAGTCCATGATGGTATGACTAGAGTCATTTGGGTCAGACTACAAGGGTGACGCAATAAGCTAAAAAAGTCAAAATCATGGCAAGACATCACTGATAATCAAGACGGGGTCAAAGATCATGAAGTCAAACCGTCACAATTTGGCACATATAATGCCCTATGTCATATGGCCTCTCTCGGTGAGACAATTAGGTCAAATTTTAGCAGGGGTCACAAACATGATTTCAGCGGCAGCCTCTGCAACATAAGCATGCAGACTCTAAGGTGCCCATTCTACTTTAACTGTAGACGTGTTGCCATGTTCAGTACAAGGATGAATCCTTGTAGCAATACTGCAATCTAGGTGATGCAAGCTCATTCAACAGATGGACTGCTGTTAGTCTCATTAGAAAATAAGTCTTACCATGGGCATTTATATTAGTAATCCAAATAATTAATCAGCAATCTTTGTCTTCACAGTTCATGGCCTGAAAATGGGTGTTTTTTTATCTGCTGCCTATAGTTTTCTAAGTGGCAGATTAAAGAGTTGGATTCAGTAAAAATATATTGAAGTTTATCAAAGGGAACACTGGCCACATCTGTGAGAATTACTTTCAATACTGCCCACAAAATAAAGTGCCCATGACTGCTTTTGTTTCTGCATAGTTGGTGTTAACACTGAATAGCTGCACAACGCAGAGATTACCGTCAGCTTCCAGCTTAGCTCTATCATCAGTGAATTATGTGCAGCATTTAGGGGAACTTCTGTGAATCAATGACCCCACTGAGATAGCAGCTTGCTTTGCCTCAGACAGCAAGGTTGGGGATAAGGCTTCCCTGAAAGGATAGCTGCTGATTTTTCATGTAAAAGTGAGACATTGCTAGGGCCAGGCCAGCTGCATTTTTGAATATGCTATTGTCATTAGAAAAGACAGGCTTATTAGGCTCTTCCCACCTTGTTAGTCATTGCAAATGAATTTACCACCCCAAAATGTATTATCAGACCAGAGAGTTACAAGGTGGTTCTGGGTTAGAAATTCAGTTTTGACAAAAGTCTAATAGCAACCTAATAGCTAAGCTTTGTCATGCAGGCAACAAGTCCCAAACCCCAAGAGGAACCTCCAGATGGATATTTCTTCCCTTTGCCAGTGGCTCTAACTAGCAAAATCATTAGTCACAGAGACTTGTACCTCAAAAGATTTATTAGAGTTATAGATCCCTTAGGATATTAGCTCTTTTCTATACACAGCTTTTCCAAATTGGAATAATCCATTCTGACACTTACAGGACAGGGAAGTATAAGTATATAACACTTAATTTCCTACTATACATTCTGATGTGTAAACAACAACTGTACACTGAATTAGCCCAAAGAGCTGCACCCACAGGGTCGTACTAGCTTCTCTTTCCAACTCTAAACCTTGTCCACATTCTATTGGTTGAATCTAGGCATTCTTTCACCACTAAACTAGATAGAGTGTAACTTGGTTATTACTGGGCTAGATAACAGAGTAATGAAAGTACCCTCATGTCCCTGAAATGTCTCAGTATACTTGAATAGGTGCATAGTGGCTTTGCCCCAGTATACTCAAAGTGTTGTATATAGACTTTATTCCCCTCGGGTAAAGGAGTGTCAGATCCAGCTTTAATCATCTTTCTTCGAGCAGGTAAGGTCAAGGCACAGGGATGAATTGGAGGTGGGAAATGGAAAACTTTTTTTTAGAACCATTTCGAACTGCCTGACTATAAAAGTAATAAAGATAGGGCAAGCAACTTATGGAAT